CTTCATGAGTGATCTTAAACCTTTCGATTACATTAACGACGTCACAACTCACAAGCATCAAACCTCCTCATATCAATAATAGTTGATCCAAGAGACGATAACCCGTAGATATGGCACAACGGCAAAGCTGCTAGATTACCATTACTCGAGCCACAATATATTCGTATTCCGGAGCTTCAAACCTCACAAAATGTTCCATAGTTGCTATAAAATTCCTATGAGTAAACAAAACTCCTCTTTATATCACTTGTAAAAACTCTCCATGCTCGTTTTTTGAAGCTTGTGGTTGCACCATGCAAGAGATGGTTCAGGTTCAGACGCATCAATTGCAAATCCATGGCGAAGTTCAACAAGCATAGTGCTATAGAACGCATAGGTGTGATTAGAAAATGGATGTTACCAAAACAAGAAATGTTGTTCCTCCATTTGTTTATTCCTCTTTGGGTTCATAAGATTTTTCCAACAGATACTATTACCAAAACGTTTTACAGTGTTAGCATTAGACAGAGAACTTCACGCCGTCATCATCTGCTCATGTTCCTTTGAACAACGTAAGCTTGCCTTTGTTGTTAGTCAAACATAAAATTTAAAAGTTTTTTTTTAAACTAGTGATTTGAAAGTATAATTTAAATTCTCATGTTATTGAACCTTTTAAGCAGTGAATTTTTTTTAAAAAGTTTATATGATTTTAAGGTGTTTTAATAGAGTTGTCTAGGTTGTAAATCAACTTTTTCCGATTCGATTATTTTTTATTTTATTTTTTATCACGAACGCACTTCATACATTGTTTAACCGAATACAGTGGTAATTAATATGGAACTGAAGTGCTAATACTAGAAAATACTAAATCTCGTTGACGAGCATTTCTAGCAAGTGCATCCGCCTTGCCATTCTTATCCCTGGGGCAATACACTAGTGTAAAATCCGTGAAGTCAACTCATAAACTCTTCGAATCTTCCAACTCCGTTGTAAATCGGGGCCAATTCGACGGATCACTTACCATTGTGATTAGTTCCTATGAGTCTGTCGCGAACATCGCACAATACATTTGTTTCCTCCGTAGACTCCTCATAGCCCAAAGCAGACTAAGTAGCTCTGTATGGAGAGGGGAGAGCCCCCGATGTATTCCCCGGACTCCGAGTAGATCTGTTTCCCCGTCTTGTAATTGCAGGACCCACCCTAACCCACTCGTGGGTTCTCCATCCTTCCAAGATCGGTCCACAACGCATTTGAATATCGCATTCGCCATCTCTGGGATGACCACCTGTTGGCTTACCAGAGCAGTTTCTAACACACTATTAGCGAGGAACCAGGCCTCAACCTCTTTTGTGGCTAGTTCAATGTCGCTTGTGGAGAT